TCATCAAATGACGCATTTGTAGAGAATCCGGCAACGTAATAAAACTTTCTCTACGCTGAAGTTTGCAATAGTATTCAAACGTTATTGAGCAGTTACTCAGTCTAGAAATCACCTTGAGCGACAGTGTTCAGATTTAAAAGTGATGTTCAATAAAATTACAGCTCGCGAGCCGGGGCCGACTATATAGAATTTATGACCCAAAACGTCCAAAGAGTGGATGATAAAATCAAGTTCACATGAACGTTCACATGGACTGAACTGGTCATCAGCTCCAGTTCACATGAACTGAACTGGTCATCAGCTCCAGTTCACATGAACTGAACTGGTCATCAGCTCCAGTTCACATGAACGTTCACATGAACTGAACTGGTCACCGGCTCCAGTTCATATGAACGTGAACTGCTTCGCCCAGTTCCAGCTCTATGAGCTGAAATGGAACTGTCACATGCCTAGTTCTAACCAGTTCGATAAATAAATCATCATCCTCTATGTTTTTGCAGGATAGTATTCGAATTTAACTTAATACTTTCTCATGTATGAGTACTTGACCTGTGTGCTTGAGAGCCCATTGATAAGCACGAAGATCAGCTCGTGCCATGGAGAGTCCTCGATAAGATATACCTTCAAAAGAACGACGGTTGAGTGTATTTAATCCAGCAAGTAGGAGGAAAAAAAGAGTTTCTGTTTTCTCGTTGTATCCCAGTCCCCTGTAGAAAGGTGTCTCAAGTGTGTAGAGTCGAATAAGATGTTCCACCTTCTTCGTTCTCTTATATTTCTCGAGCAATTCATGCGCCTTCTCGTATTCCGGATGGGACGTTGGTACGGACTCCTCGATACTAATCTTCAAATCTGATAGCATTACGTCGAGCCATGATGCAGGATCATCTTTCTCCTTGAAGGCCTTCCAAATAATGGGCCGCAAAAGAGACGAGCCACCGACACGTTTCGTCCAGTATGCTTAGGTGTGCGTTGTAGCCGTAGAATTGTCTCCCTGTACCCAACCATCTGGTGAGTCTTCTTCCTCTTCGCCCTCGTCTTCTTCTTTGTTATCCTTAGTAAAGATAAACTGTGGTGGAGCATCACTGTTCTCCTCGACAAATCTGTTCACAGATGATGGTCGATGAAAGAGACGACGTATTTCTTTTGTGGGAGCTTCTTGATAGGCAGTGAGGCCGTGACGGTTCTTCCGATGACGGATGATGCCCCTTTCTTGTACTAAGAATCGAACGACGTCCGTGTGGCCAAAGAAGGAGGCTGCATGGAGAGCTGTACTTCCATTGGGTTCGAGACGATTAATGTCAGAGAAGGGTGTGGAAGACAGAATCTCATTCACAGCGTCGAGATCCCCACCACGACACGCCCAGTATAGTGGACTTGCTTCCCCTACTTGTGGATTGCGAAGCACTACAGTCTCGTGCTTTTCTTCTTCTTTCGTTTGTTCGTTACCCATGTGCAGTGAGCGGATTAATATTTTTTCTCTAACAAAAGAAAAAGGTATCTTCCTTGGTAGTGACTAAAGTGTGTGTGCACAGCGAGGTGAGCACCAATAACAGTTAATTTTGATGTATTACCTAGTAGTGTCGTTTTCGTTTTTGACCTTCGGGTGAAGAGTTATAAGCCTTGTAAGTCAAAAATTTGACTGAAAAGTGAAAAACCAAAATGACAAAAACCCGTATCTCTTTTATTAAAAATCAACGAAAGTATATTTTTGAAAACGCTCAAAAACGTCGATGTATTTATGTCTAGGGTATCTCCAAAATAATTTTCAGCCAAAACAAAAAATCTAAAGGATATGTTTTAGGATCGCAGGTTGGAATCAGTATTGAATTCTTTCGAGTTCCTAAACTAAATTTTTCGAAAATCCCCCATACATGGGTCCGCTCATTTTCCGAGCTCTATCTGTGGTAAAAAGTTTCAAGTTGGTAGGACGTTCCGTTACCGAATGCCAGACAGGGTCAAATTTAGGGGGGGTACCCTTAAGTATTTTTGAAATGTAAGTTGGACTGGAAATGGAAGAATCGGAACATTCCTTTTGTGTTTCTTTTATAGTTTGAGACAAAAGAATGGCCTTTCTTTTCGTAGGTGTACAGCAGGACAACTCAGAGAGTAGTTTTTGGGTCTCTTTGGAAAGATGGTGACCCGCTCCGCTTGCTGACAATTCTCATTTTTTTCTTCTTACAGGAGTAATGAGCGATATCTACGACTTTACGCTACTGCCGAAAGCATCACACCGTATTCATTCAATCTTCGCTTTCAAAGCGATCTCGCCAGTGTTGTTCATGAGGCATGCGCTAACTGGATTGCTTGCTCTTAAAATGACATTTTTCAATCAAGTCTACAGTTTATTAATTGTTTCTTCTTTTCAACCTTTGCTTGTATCATTGCTTTGTCATGTGTGTGACAAAATTCTTAACTTTCATTTCTTCATTATTTGCTCTTTTCTTATTTATAATACTAGAAGCCACTCGATTCAGTCAGTCGAGGGGGAAAGCGAAGCGGATTTAAACATCAAATAAACACATGTAAACGCTCACATGTACAGATATATACAACACACATACTTCTCTATGCTTCTAAACAAGAAGCGGCAAAACGTCCTCGGACGTGATCACTCTCTGGTCACCACCGAGAAAGGTCCTCTCATCGCCTCTCTACCATCTCTGAATAATACACACACTTATGTGAGCTTCTTAGTGTGGAGAGGTAGAAGCCCACCTCGTACATGATCACCACCCGGCCACACAGACACACAACTGAATCGTTACCTAGAGCAATGATAACAGATCATTGAGGTGATCTTTTCTTTCTTTTTACCTTGAAATGAATGAAATTGAAGTGAAATGTATTAATTTTCGTTTGTGCGCCTGTCCAAAGAAGAAGAAGGAATAGCTGGGTGAACCCTATGCTAAAAAAATGCGAACGGAAGGTCCAATCGGAGTGGAGGCCTCGGAATACACATCTATACACTTGGAACAACGTTCCATTCTTTTGTAGCTAAGTCGTACGACTTATGGTTCTTCTGATCATCAAACAACAAATTTTGGTCTGTCTATCTAGGTAAAAGATACATCGGCGACTGCTATAAAGCTTCGCTTTAAAAAAATCGCGTGTGCGAAGGTGCTTTGACGTTTGCACCGGAGGACACAAATCGTTCTTTCCCTATTTTTGTTAGCAAAGTTTTTACTTTGTCATGATAATTATTTATACAATAATGTTCATTTTATATATTTCACTCGTCTTCGAGGAGAAAAGTAAGACTCGGAATAAGAAAAACACGCTTTATTGTTTTCACCTTACCATTGTCGAAGCAATTGATGTAATCAAGTAGGGGAAAAAGTGCGACCATTATATTTTTTGCTTACCTGTGCGCTAAACGCTGCGCATAGCGTTGTTTTTTTGCATTTTACCGCAAGGACATGAAAAATGATCCTGCGAAAAGCCAGAAGACTCTTGACGTTGATATATTCATAGTTAAGTTCCGGAATTTTGTATGTTGCGGAAAAATGCATAAATTTCTACGGCGGATAAGTTAAACTTAGGAGACAGAGGTTTGCATGCATAGAATAAATAATGAGATCAAACGTTCTTCGATACGTTGGTGAGCTGTTGTTGAGTTAATACTTGGCTAGGTGCGAATGTCAGAAATTCCAGCCTCTCCCAGATGTCAATAAAATAATTAAAACCGACCTTCTGACAAAGATGAAAGGACCCCGCAGGATAAGATAGCAAATCTACCCCGCTTTAGGGTGTGGGTGGGTGTGTGTGGGTTTCATTGAAAAGATACTTACACAAAAGTGGAGAAGTCAGCGCACATTTCTGTGCAAGAAAATTTCACTTTGTACAGATGGGGAAATTCTACATAGACAAATACTACCGAAAGGTCAAAGTGTGTCGAGTCAGCCTTGTGTGCCTGTGAATTATTTATACAGATAGTACTTTCCTGAACTGATACTGTCAAAAGAAGCAGCTTTTAACCCTCGACAAACTGAGTATTAACGGTATTTGGAAGACTCGTATAAGTGACGAAGTCAAGGATCGACAAGACTCATGGACCCATCTTGTGGATAAACTTAAATATCCAAAATCTCGGAAACCGCTAAACCTATCCAAAATCCAAAAAACAAGGCAATTCACATAAAAACCTTGCTTGTTGAAAAAGCTTGCTATACGTCAATCATTGTTGTCAGAACATCAGTCCTACATAGCTATTGCATTTTCCCAAACACATCAGTGAATAGCCCAATGTCCTCTACCAGAATTTCGAAAATTGGTCAAAACTATTTTAAACTAATTAATATCAACATATCCCAAAACATGCGTCCTTGACGTTTAATTTTCTGAAAGACTGATTCACATCTAAGCTGTTCTTTCACTTCATCGTTCATTCGCATGACAGACAAAGTACATGCTTCGACCGTGAAAAGACAGACTTCAATGAAAGTTGGCGCGGGATAGAAAAAAGAAAGGTAGACGCCTGCTGGGCACGAGGAGAGCAGACGTGTTACTTCAGCGCTCTTTAGTTTGTAAAGCAGAAGACAAGAAAAGGCGAAAGAGGAACGAGTAATGTTTGCATACACTCAACTCTTTCACTACTCTATGCCATTAAATTAAAAAGAGAAGAAAGATCACATGAATAATGTTGTTTTAGCAGTATTCACTCTTTTTTTGCTGCCACTCTCCCGGCACGATACCTTTTCCTCGTCAGTCCTCGCTTTCACTTGGGTCTAGTCATGAGGCTAGCGAGCCTTTTGGTGATCCTCTACAATCACCCTCTACTATCACTTGATTTGTTACATTTCCAACTTTTTAATTTTTGTCATATCTAGCGCTTGTGATTGATACTGTGAGGGTGTTTGTCGTGGTAAATTGAGTGTTTGGTCATTATTTTTAAATAATATGC